GCAGCCAGAAATGTTCGTCGTGACGCGATTTTGTCGACCCACCTGGAAGAGAAAGAAACGAGTCTCAGCACACAAATGCAGCGTAACTCGAGCTTCCTGTTCCCAACGAATTATTGCACATTCACACATTCTATCATGTGACTTTCCCGCATTATAATGAAAACCCGCCGTGTATGTAAAACGCTAAGAGGTCTATAGAATCTGCCATGCGGCGGCCGTCTCCTTTCTATCGCATGCCGATGAAGGATGCCGGGCGAGACCGCGCAACAGGGTAATATCATCTTTAGGTGGGTCTGTGGCTCTGTAGAGCGCGTTGGCGTTCGCCCAAACGGTCGAAAACCTAAGAGACGCCAACACTAACCAGAATAGATCTTTACCGCCGGCTTTAAGTGTACACACATGCCTATCCACATGGTCATTACATCGAGTTATTATACTTGGTGAGCGCGGGGAAAGTCCAAGTATATGTGCTATGTTATACCAAAGTGAAATTACTGACGTCCACCTTTCTAGTAGTTCACTTTATACTGCTGTCTTTTCGTTTTTGTTTTTTTTAATAATCAATAAAACCCTCTTCCAGCTTGTATTAGTATACAGAACCACCTACGTCAAACTTGTCTATGTCGTCTCGCCTAGCAGTGTTTTTTATATTTTCCGGTTTTTCCAAGTACTAGTTTTTTTTTATGTGTTCGGGGAGGAGTCCGTACACACAAACATGGTCCCTGTCCTCTGGAGGGAAACTACTCTTTAGACATTCTTTACTACCCTTAGGGAGGCCTCACCTCAGTACTGCTGACCTAGACTTAATAACAAAACCATAAACCGCAAACACGGGGTCGACGCTAGTCGACAAGCAGTCGCAGGTGACGTCGGACCGGATAGAGTTGGGGGGGGGGGATGGCGTTTGATATCAGGTGGTCATTTATTCTTTATGTTATTTACATATAATCGCTGTTAAATGGTGTATAACACAGAATCAAAGGTATGGAGGACCACAAATGCTCGCTGAATAGGTTCAGAACCGTTTGCCAGTATTTTGTCCTAATTTGTACATAATTTTGGTATATATCTTTGGTAGAGCATAGATGATTGATATCTTTACGTTTGCCGCAGGCCAAATCTGCATTAAGACAGGAGGATGATAGGCGTAGTAAATGCTCTTTTGTAAAAGTATTGTAATTGGTGTTGGTATAAGCTCCACCAAATATTTATTGTATAGGCATACCCCCTGTCTGTGCACACGGAAACCGACTCTGTCGTCCGGTGATCTAACCGCCTTCTGGAAAAGCTTCACAAGTACGTCGGTACGCAAATGTGCTTTGTGACACAAGAGACGGTACGCAATTCAGATTGTTGCTGCGCATGCGTACCTGCGTACCACTTATGTGCACCCTGACTATAAAAACATAATTGCACGGTTTAAAATGTATCAGGTCTGCTCACTACAGCCAACGAGGAAGAGAGGATGTTACAAAGAATGCCTAAGTTAAAGTCTATTTGGATATAAAGTTATATGATTATTGATTCCCTTTTATTTAGCTGTAAGTAATTATTTTCTCATGACCTTTTAGTAAATGTTACGAGGTCCATTGATGTGCCGGGTGTGTTTCAACCTTTAAATCTGACCATATTTCTGCTCATAATCAAATAAATCATGTTTAAAAGTAGGACAATGAGACCCAAGTTGTAATAAACCTGATGCACGTTTACTTGTTTGCTCTGCTGCCTTACTTCTGGCTGCAGAGGGACAAATGTCCTGATATAAACCTCGGAGCCTTCATCCAGCAGCTCAACCTAAACCTCTGGTCGTATTTTAAAACGTGGCATGTTGACTTTATGTGTTTTTAAAGCTTCAGTAAAGGGAGGCCACCTCCAGAGTCTTGAGCTAAGCCGGGGGATCATATTCCCTCTCGGAGCCTGGCATTAGTCCACGCTGTGGGTCACGGGGTGATAATCTCTTCCTGTCAGGAATGCCGAGAATTTCCTGCGTTTTTCTCCCTCTTCCGGCCGTGTTAGTGGTTGAACATGTGACTCAGAGAGAGAGCCTACTGTATCACTGTTACCTAACGCTCAGCAGGCCATAAAGGGACGTCTTTTTGCAGCTCTCACTTCAAGGGAATATGCTGATCAAATGAAGTGTATTCAGAGGGGAACGGATTCTGCACCTGCTCTGAGGAGGCTGCAGCTCGGCCTCATATCGGAGCTTTTGTTACATAAAACCACTCGCATGCAACCAGGGCTGTGAGGAAAATGTGTTCCGTTAGAATTACAAGTTACCTGTAATCAAATCTGAGTATCAAACCTGCCTTTCATGAAGCATATTCAGGCAGTAACCTAAACACCAACAATGCAATATGTATCCTGATTACGTAATACATGTAACTCCCCAAGCCTGCATGCAACACGCTGCTTTGATATCAGTGTGTTTGATCCCGAATTAAAGCCTCAGTTAATTCCTGGGTGTTTTAGTTATCTGACAGACCGTGCAGCCTCTTGGATTCGGTGCACTCTAACCTTTGGGCCGTTATTCTCAGAGCATTACTATGCAAGGCGAGCCGACTCCATTCACATTCCTGAGCAAGGACGTTGAAGGAAAAAAAAGGTTGTGTGCGTGAAGTATGCAGTTTGTTGATCTGTGTGTGTGTGTGTGTGTGTGTGTGTGTGTGTGTGTGTGTGTGTGTGTGTGTGTGTGTGTGTGTGTGTGGGGCGATGTTGTTTGTGTCGTGGGGAGAAAG